GTATGAAATTTTATGAACTTTATTTTTTGTTGTTATTAAGAATTAGAAAGATCATACAGAATGTTTCAAATCTCAATTGCCATCTATTAAGTGTAAAAAATACTATGGGTTGCCTGTCCTATTATCCAGATAGGAATCATATAGGATATGAAATTTGGGTTTCATCCTTGAATCACTAGGTAGTGTAATTCTGTGTACTCTATTCAACACAATATCCTGAATTGATTGTAGTAGATTTACTTTTCTGCTGATCGGTGATATCTGATATGTTTCTTTTCTGAATCACGGTAAATACAGTTTTTTATTGGAACCTCTGTGATGATAGAATTTCATTAAATAAAAAGAGAAAAGATCATAAGCATGTGTAAAAATGTTTGGAACTGAGAGAAGTACAGAGAAAGCCTATAATAGGTAATAATGATAACAATGCTAAATTTGAGCCAGTCAAAAGAAGATGAGGGAATAAGAAACCTGGTAAGCAAAGATCAAAGTAATCTTCCTTTAACAATTACAAAAGAGCCTGATCAACACTGAATTCCTCCAGTGTGCCAGATACTATGCTAAGCACTAAGGCTTTAAAGATAATAAAACATGGAATCTGCCCTTAAGGAACTACAGTTCTAAATGCTACTTTTCCTGAGGGATGAATGTCAGAATTTGAGTCAAGAGCTAAACTTCATATAAAACACTAAACTCAAACCGAATCAAATCACTTTACACTGGATGCACCCATTTTTGCAAAATAAAACTCAACATTACACAAATAATAGACAGAAGCAGAGGTACGCATAAAAGAAAATTACAGGGGGGAAAACAATCTTTACTTTTGGCTTTTATACACTTTGGCAATTCACCTGAGTAACAAATGTTGAGACTATGATGTAAGATATCTGAAGCAGAAGGGACTAGACTCCTGCTCTTTACGTTCCATACTGTTTTTCAGTTCAGATCACCCCTGAACATAGTACTGCCTTGTTCTCAACCCTTCAATAAAACATAAAACATTACTGAGAGCACTAGTTTTCAAAGGTATTTCTCTATGGGTCAGGTGCAAACTACATAGCTGTTTAAAAGACTAGGTACTATAAGATGTCAAAAGAATAAGAACAGAAAAGTTCCAATGACAATGAACTTAAAGGGAAAGGGTATCATGCATAAACTGATCTCCTTCCTAAATTTACAGTGTATTTTTCTTAGTGATGCATCCATTTGAAACATACAAAACGATTATTGCACCATATTTCCTAATGCACTAAAATAAGTATGAAAAAATAAAAAATATTGTCATAAGGAAAAGTAAAGTCACAAAAGTGAGAGTATAAGCACTTTCTTCTTTTACTCCATTCAGATATCAACAATGAATATTAACTCTTAAAAACTTTTGAAGTCTACAATACCTTATATAAAAGAGTGAGTTAATATGTATACATGGCATACATATAAGTTTATGCTTGATTTGATGTCATTAAAATTATTAGAAATAAAAATTCATTTTGCAGTTTCCCTAATTCCCTCTCCATTAATTCATGTTGGCTATCCTAAATATAATCCAAACTGACTTTACTTGGGCTGATGATTTGAGCCTAAAACTCTGATAGAAATGTATTTATCCTATCACATAAAAATAAACCTTTCTTTCAATATGGTGACAAATTAAAGCTAAATGAAAAGTTAAAGTTATATAAGATTTTATTCCACCTTAAACCTGGTATATAGCCTAGTTTAAAACTCAATGAATGTGTTAAGTAGGAGATAAAAAGTTAAACTACATAGTGAAATTAAATAAAGTTAAAGTATTATTCATTTCACCTATCCAATCCCTAGAAAAGCTAACAAGTGTTTTCTTATATTTGGCAAATAAACAGCAAATAGCAACTTATAAATTTCCCAAAAAAAAGTGATCTCATAATGGAATGGCACAAAGTAGGCACTTACATATAACAACCATTCTCAGGTTTACCACATATATATTTTGTACTAAATTGCATTTCTTTGTAATACACCTAAACTTATTGACTAATTCTAAGTTAGTATTGGTGATCATGTTTGTTTTGTGTCAAAACCTGAGCAGTCTTTCTATCCCAAACACAGACAGTCCCTATTTAAGCCAGCTGTTGGTTTCTGCAACAAATGTAAGGGTACAAACAAATAAATCTAAGGACTTTCCACAGTCTGAAGGATCTGCCAGTTTTTAATAAATTGTATTTCTGTCTTCATTTTTTTTTCCTGCATGATCCCTAGTTCTTACTCAATCTAAGTTTACTTCTTTTTTATTTTTACCTTTCCAATCTTCCCAGTATCTAATGATTCCTTTGAATTGCTCCTACTTTAACAGTTCAAGGAAATACTGTTGTTCCTTGAACCAAATGAGGCAGCAATACTCAGTCCACCCACTGTAAACCTTTAGACAAATTCTCTCTCCACATTTGTTATTCTAAGCTGAAGAGTTAAATTTTAAAAACAGACTCTACCATAGCAACCATTTCTCCCACTTATACCTTTCACCTTGTGCCCTTCTCCAAAGCCACTATAACTTTCTCAAAATAAAATTACCAGTACAAATATGGCCATGCATTGAGTGAAAATGGTCCCAGAATAGAAGCATGATAGGATGGTGATTAAAAGCTTTAGGTTCTCTAAAACTGAATTTGAGTTTGCATTCCCAGCTGTTATACACTAGCTGTGTGACTTCAAACAAGTTACTTAACCTTTCTGAGCCACAGTGTCTCTTTTAAAAGGGCACAATAAAAGTACCTGTCTCATGGGATTATGGAATTAACTGAAAAAATGTAGATATAACCAATGTCTGATACAGAGTAAATTCTTAATAAATACTGGCTATTCTTGCTATTATTATTGTTGTTTAGCACAAGAGCAGAGTGTATTTATTTTCTTTTCACTATGCTTCCCACCAATATTTTTACTAGTCTTTTTTGCACCATTGCCTTTAGAAAATAATCTATATTCATTCCTCATTACAACTGCTGAATATAAAGCTAAGTAAGACTAAACTCAGCTTCCCTACTATTTTATTTATTTACTAGAGGCCTGGTGCACGAAATTTGTGCACAGAGGGGAGGGGGATGTGTTTGTGTCCTTCAGCCCAGCCTGCACCCTCTCCAATCTGGGACCACTCAAGGGATGTCTAAATGATCCAGGATCAGGCCTAAATGGACAGTCAGATATCCCTCTCACAATCAGGACTGCTGGCTCCCAACCACTCACCTGCCTGATTGCCCCTAACCACGTCTGCCTGCCAGCCTGATCACCCCCTAACGACATCCCTGCCAGCCTGATCAATGCCTAACTGCTTCCCTGCTGGCCCGATTGCCCCTAACTGACCTCTGCAGACCTGGTCGCCCCCAAGTACCTTCTCCTGCTAGCCCAGTAACCCCTAACTGCTCTCCCATGCCACTCTGGTCACCACTAACTGCCCTTCCCTGCCAGCCTAGTTGCCCCCAACTGTCCTCCCCTGAAGGCCTGGTCACCCCCAACTTCCCTTCCCTGCTGGCCCAGTACCCCCTTCCCCCCAACAGCATTACCCTGCTGGCCTGGTTCCTTCCAACTGCCATCCTCTCCAGGCTAAATCTCCCCCAACTGCCCTCCCCTGCAGGCCTGTATTCCCCCCAACTGTCTTTCCCTGCAGGCCTGGGTTCCCCCCAACTGTCTTTCCCTGCAGGTCTGGTCCCTTCCAACTCCCCTCCCCTGATCTTATAGCAGCCATCTTGTGTCCGCATGGGGGCAGCCATCATGTGTGTTGGAATGATGGTCAATTTGAATATCACTCTTTTATTAGATAGGATTTTTATTAATCCTCACCTGGGGATATTTTTCCATTGACTTTTAGAGGGAATGGAAGGGAGAGGGAGAGACAAAGAAACATCAACATGAGACATATAGATTGGTTGCTTCCAGCATCCACTCCCCACCAGAGCTGGGGATTGAGCCTGCAACCAAGGTACATGCCCTTGATAGGAACTGAACTCAGAACCCTTCAGTCTGAGGGCCAACAAGCGTTCCACTGAGCCAAACTGGCCAGGACTCAGCTTCCCTTCAAAATATCACTTAGAATAATTTTTCTTTTATTTGCACAAATTAAAACACTCATCACCTTTTGTGTTGAATTGTTGATCTAAATTTTCTTGCCATGTCTATCAACTAGACATTAAGAAGGCCTGAATAAGTTACCCTTATCTAATACACAGGGCAAGTAACAGTTGTGGGTATGGAAAATAATACAATAATTAATAAATAATAATGGAAGAATAAACTGTTTCACTAATTCATAACTGTAAACCTAATTTTCTCCACGCTGTATTAGAGAGTGTGCTGTATATTCTGTCTATGAGGTGATTTATAAAAATGTTACAACCAGTGCCAGGAATATCTAGAGCTGTGGATGGATGTAGGGAAGGGGGTGGGGGATTCAGATAGTATAGCTTTCTCTACATTACCTATTGACAAATGGAAACAGCAAAGTATTTGATGGTTTTGAGCTTCTCACTACCAGCAAAAGGAATAGGAGTCAATTTAAATAAAACTGAGAGTGAATTTTTATTTTCAATGTTAAATGAAAACTTTGGGGTTTATTTAAATAAAGACCTATCAAGTAGGGACACTAGAATTGTGGCAGTTTGTTTCTATATAAAAAGTGAAAATATGATATTTGTAAAGTCTTTTCTAATACAGCTTCTTTCCACTATTCTTCATCAAAATGGTCAACTTCTTTTGTCTGTCTTATCAACCCTTTTATATAAATCTATCTGCAGATGGGTATATTATACTGATCAAAAATCAAGCAGTAGTTAAAAATTAACAATTTTATAAGATCTATACGGAGATGGCTCCTGACTTTTTGCTTAGAGAGGCACAAAAAAGAAGTTTATCTTTTCACTTTGAAGAAATATATCAATTTATCTGACTATACTGTTTTATGAAATTAGAAAATGACTGTGGGTTAGTATTACCTGCCTTTCCCAGTTAATCAAATTTAGGTAGAGTGAAAGGTGAAAATATCATATTTATAAATTCTAATATCAACATGTCTTCATGAGTGAAGTTGGTAAAAAAGTTTACTTATGTAAACTAATAAATTTATCATAATAACCAATTATAAAAGATTATAAGTACATAATATTAACTACCTATATCATTTAAAAAAAGTTTTATCACGAACTAAAAATCAAAAGCAAAGTCAAATACTTTACATATACTCTTTTCTGGAACCCTAATCATCACTTCCACTAACATTATCTATATTTACATATACTCTTTTCTGGAACCCTAACCATCACTTCCACTAACATTAACTAAAATATTTGATTGTTGAAAGAAACATACTCATATTATTAAAACTAAAAGGATCCCTGAAGTTGAAGCTCAGGAAAAAGATCTAAAGAGATTATATGACATGCCCAAGATCATACAACTAGAGCTAGGATAGTGGCAGCACTAGACCGAGGATAATCTTTCCTAACTCTACATTTAAGACTTTTGGCAATGTATAGTAACATAAGAGAGTTAAATATAATATATTGAGGCAGGGGTTTGAAAAGTTACATGTTGTCCCTTTTAAGTTAAAACTTTTAAATTTAATGACTTCTACTACCTTGATTTTATATTCCTAGGAAAGTTTAAAATATCATAAAATTCAGCCCAGCCAGTGTTGCTCAGAGGTTAAGCACTGGAATAAGAACCAAGAAGTCATAGTTTCATTTCTGGTCTGGGCACATTTCTAAGTTTCAGGCTCAATACCCAGTGGGGGGCAGGCATCAATGATTCTCTTTCATCATTGATGTTTCTATCTCTCTTTCCCTCACCTTTCCTCTCTGAAATCAATAAAAGGATAAAATATCATAAATTCAAAAGTAATGAAAACACACCAAAGTAAATATATGCACTTCCTTACATCAAAATCACGGAAAAGACTCGAGAAACCAAAATGGCAGTATAGATAAACACCTGAACTTGCTGCCTCGCACAAGAACTTCAAAACTACAATTAAAAGAAAAAACGGGTATTATCCAGAACCACAGGAAAGCTAGCTGAATGGAAATTATAAAACTAGAAGGAAAAAGAAAAGCACACTGAGACTCAGAGGAGGTGCAGAGGTGCATAAGTAAAGTGTGGAAGTAAAGAGTTTCACACACATGGAAAGGGACTGGCAACTGAGAACATTGTTGTCTTTTTCAATTGGGAGGGAGATACAAGCTCCTAACTGCTCTGAACTCCAGTTCCAGGCGAGACTCTGGGGACCCAGACTCATACGGGGAGAAACTGGACTGTCTGGCATTGGCCGGAACATGAGGACGGCTTTCTCCCAGAGGTGCTTGCAAGCGATCCTTGTTCCTGCACGGTGCCATGGGACACAGAAACCCAGGAACCTCTTTGGGACAGGGCTGAGGGTCAGCCATTGCTGTTTGCTCCGCCCTGGTGATTCCCTGAGATTCCGCCCCACACAATTTACAACCCATCCAAGCTGTGTACAGAGACTTTTGCATATGAATGGCCTGGCCCTTTGCAACCTGAAACCGAACGTATTGCAGCTGGGTCAGAGAGACCCAGAGCCTCCAAAAGAAGACCCAAAGCTCAACAGCAACTTGTATTGCTTCACAGCTGGGCCTCATCTGGGCACCTCCAAACCCAACAAAGAGGAATACAGTAACCTGCAGCTCTCTCTGTAGCTCCTGCTGGGTGGCTTCAGGCAGTGGTTGACTTTGCACCTCCTTGGAGATCCAAGAGCCCGTGTACCCAGTGACCAGAGTGAGACCATCCAGATTACAACTCTTCACATCCATAAGAAACATACTCAGGGGGCAGACTCAGTGATTGTCAAAGCCCCACTGAAGCAAGTCCTGTCCCATAAGCGTGTCTCCAGCACAAAAGTTCTCCCAGCATAGGCACAATTGATCCTCACAGTCAACTGGCCTGGAGGTCAATTCCTCCCAGTGATAACAAAAGCAATCAAAGTTTAACTACAACAAGACTGTGCACACAGCCCAGAAAGGGGTTCACCAAGAGTGTCTACCTCAAGTAATTAGGGAGGCTGAACCACTGGGCCCTATAGGACACCTCGCACACAAAGCCACTCTATCAACACAGGGAAGCAGCCAAAATGTAGGGACAAAATAACAGGTCACAAATGAAAGAAATGGAGGATAGCAAACTATTGGTTATAGAGTTCAAAACCACAGTTATAAGGTTACTCAAGAATCTTCTAGAAACCTCCAATAAATTTAGTGAGACCTTCAAGAATATGAAAAAGGACCAACCAGAAATTAAGCATACACTGACTGAAATAAAGAATAATATACAGAGGTCCAACTGCAGACTAGAAGATCCCAAGAATCAAGTCAAAGATGTGAAATACAAAGAAGCAAAAAACACCCAACCAGAAAAGTTGCCTCTGGGACAACGTCAAGTGTACCAACATTCGAATTATGAGGGTGCCAGAAGAAGAGAGAGAGCAAGATACTGAAAACCTATTTGAAGAAATAATGACAGAAAACTTTCCCCAAGAGAAAAACAGTTAGTTTCCTACAAGGGAATACCAATAGGACTGTCAGCTGATTTCTCAACAGAAACTTTGCATGCCAGAAGAGAGTGGCAAGAAATATTCAAAGTGACTACAACCAAGATTACTCTACCTAGCAAAGCTATCATTCAGAATTGAAGGTCAGATAAAGAGCTTCATAGACAAGAAAAAGCTAAAGGAGTTCATCACCATCAAACCCAAATGCTGAAGGATATTCTTTAAGAAGATGAAGAAGAAGAAAAAGGTAAAGATAAAAATTATGAACAACAAAGTGACAACAAATACCTATCTATCAACAAGTGAATCTAAAAATCAAGTGAATAAAAAAATATGATGAACAGAATAAACTGTTAAATATAATAGAATCAGGGACATAGAAAGGGAGTGAACTAACAATTCTCGAGGGTGTGGGAAGAGATCGGACAAAAATGGTACACCTATGGATGAGGACAGTTGGGAGGAGGTGATAAGGGCAGAGGGTGGGGTGTGAACTGGGTGGAGGAGAACTATGGGGGGAGGGGGAAGAGGAACAACTGTAATAATCTGAAAAATAAAGACTTATTAAATAAAAAAAAATTTAAAAACATGGAAAAGGGTACTTTTTAGCATCTAAAGGAAGTCTAAAAACACATCTAAAAGTGCTTGTGTGTGTGTGTGTGTGTGTGTGTGTGTGTGTGTGTGAATTGTAGTAATGGTTTTTGTTTTGTCTTGCATTGTCTTTTAAATGGTTAGCATACTTAACTATAAATAAATATCAAGAATCTTACTACTCACAGTAAAATAGATACCAAGAATTTAAAAACCAAAAATCCAAGTCCTTTTAATAATATATGAATTAGAAATAAAGAACATCTTTTAAAAGTCAAAAGTAACTGAAAAAGATTAAATCAGTACACCCAATTCTCTAAACTGTGTGTATATTTTTCCTGAAGTACATATTCATGAGCTAACAGTGGAGACAGGCTGGCTGCTTTGTTTGACTATAGTTCTATTTACCACATACTGTCAGAAATGGATTTTGACACTCACAGCATTAATATTGCTATTTTTATTGATATAATTAGCACTGCTATAAATAATTCCTCAGTCTGCCATAACTAAGTATATCATTACAGTCAGAAATATTAGGGCTTCTTTTTCTTATATAATGCCTTGGTAATAGACTACTGGCCTAAAGAAACAGTGACCTCATAATGTGGAAATTACCGTACTGGGGGAAAAAATAAAAATAAAAAAGTTTGCCTTGTCAATAGAGACTACTGTTTTGTGTATGACTTCACTGAGCAAACTAGTTTATATTTGTTTGAAACTAAAGTTTCTCACCAATCTGCTATTTCAATTTCACATCACACCATATTGTACCTAAAACAGGCAATCTGGATTCCTGTTGCTACTTCCCCCTACCAGCTCAGGAATGGGTTTAAAATCAAGGCTTGAATATATAAAGCAAAAGAATTAAGACACCCAAAATTCAGAATTGGTGGGTGAAAATACGTGTGCTTAAAGTCATTTGTATAACTGCTAGTAGGTGGCCCAATTGTGAATTTTTTATCTTGACATAAAAGCAAAATCAAAACATATTTTATCTTGCCTCTAGATCACATCAGATGTGACAATAACCTCATCCAGACCTTGAATAGTTTGTTCATAAAACAAAGTGGGGTGACTGACCAAGTGCATATTCAACATAGAGTATGAAGGCCAAAACAAAATGACAATACAATTCAAAACAAGTTTGTGGAAATTTTAGACTAGTAATTTAAACCTTTCTTTGTCTCTATCACTTGACAGATGGTTAGCCCTCACACAGCCTAGTGTCTCTGGCAAAGAAATAACTGTGTCTAGCCAATAACACCCCAAATTTTGACTTAAAATGCACTGTACACATACTTACATGTACCTAAAAATATGAATAGTAATAGAATTAGTCATGCTTACTTAATACTATAAAAATTTGATAGATGTCAAGATTTTAATTTTTGCCCTATCAATACCTCTTTTGGAAATTCTCAATTGTCTTCTTATATAGATCCATGGTTTAAAAACTCTTTTTCACTTAGCTTTCATTTATTTTATGAGCTGCTTGGTAATCATGCTTTAAAAAAAAAAAAAAAAAAAAACACCTTCCAAAATATATTTTAATCCAAATTATTACAAAATTTACAAAGTTTTGATTAGCTTGTGTTTCATATTGCTCAGAACAAACTTCTGATAACAAAGTGAGTTAAACAATATCACCTGGGAACTTTGAATGCCTTCCATGTCAAGGACCATAGGCAGGACTGCAATTATTTACCCAGTACTGAAATATGACTTCACAAATTGCTCATATAAAAATATATACTCACATGTACATAAACACACATACATCAACCATTCTCACTAAAATTAGGAAAAGTTCATTTTTAACATTCTAGCAACCATTCTTCCACTTTGCTCTTTAAAAAAGATTTCAGCTAAAACTACATATTCCATTAGTTATAGTCTCTGCTTTTTTTTTCCTATATCTTCCTATTTACAGTTTTCAGAAGCTGGCAAGTCAGAATTCAAATAGAGGCAACCTTAACTTTCTCTAAAGTTCATTAATATGCACCCTTTTTGGAAGAGGTGATTATGCTACAAATAAGCATAGAGGTCTAATGAAGGTATAAGGAACACACACCCTTCACAACAGGGGATTGGAAGACCAGAGGCTGAGGGATGTATAAAAAGAGTTACCCTACTTGACTCACATTTGGCTAACAATATAAGACTCACCATGACAAAGAAACATGAAGAAAATCCGACCTTCTTATTTGAGAACCATGAACTCGGTTTTGGAATCCACTACTTGAAGCAACAAACTCATTGTTAAATCATATACACCCTTAGCCAGGCACCAACTTTCCTTCTGTTAGAAATCCTGGATTTTTACACATAAAGACTAAATGATTAGATTTAAAGTAATGCTAAAATCTTCTGTAATGTTCCTCTTGCATTACAAATGTTCTATTACATCAGAGAAGTGCCAATCAAATGCTTTTGTAGTTTGAAAGAAAGGTTTAAATAACAAAGCTTTTTTTCTCTCTTTTTTTTGCAGGCCTCTCTTTAATGTCACCTGTAAATTATTGATAATTACAACAAATTTTCAACTGGAAAAAAAAAATTGATTTCCACACCTATTTTTATTCTTTCTAACTAAAACATTGCAGATATTCTAGGTGATGTTCTACCACAATTTGCTAACAAAAGCTCCATAAGAATTTTACAGTAAATTTCAAGCCATAGATGTAATATATATATATAAACATTTTATTTATTTCAAAGGCATGCTTAAAAATTAAGGGGGGAAAAAACACCCTATTCTGTTGTTTTTTTAACCTACCCTAGTATATGGAGAAAGTTTCATAACAATAACAAAGGATAAAAACGAGAAACAAAATAAGCTTTTCCTTTATCATTGGCAATTGCTAAACACTCCCTTGCCCTTCAAACTGTAAGCTCTTTCAGAACACATTCCCCAAAATGGAGAAAACAGCTAGGTTTTAAAGTTTCATTCAAAAATTTCTCCTTTACAATCTAAAGCATACAAAGTGAATGTGACATTAGAATGTAAACTCTATAATGTAGACAATTTCATCTCTTGTTCACCTTACCTCCCAAGTGTCTAGAAGAGTGTCTAAAACAAGTTGTTGAATTTAAACAATCATTACAGAAAAACATGATTATTTCAGAGAATAAAGCAGAGCTCATCAAGTTCCACTTTTTTTACTCAAAATGTTTTAAAGAAATATCTACTTTCCACTCATTCTAAAATATTCAGAATAATTTGTAAATTTGTAATTCATTTATAAATGTCAGATCTTTTAAAGGAACTTAATTGTACCTTTTATTGCTCTTCTAAAATTATGGAATTATTCAGTGTAGCCTTTTTTTTTCCCTAGGAACTCCAATTTTGTCAGAGAAAGTCTGGAGACTTTCACTTCTGAGATAAAACCAATTCATTTAAAATGACTTTTTTTCATAGATTTTATTTCTATACAAAGAGGTCAAATTTGTATTAATTTGACAACAAAAGTAGTTGTATATTTGTGGGTCTCAAAAACTTCCTGGCATCACATCAACTAGTAGTTCTAAGCATACACAGGCACCCCAAATTAGAACCCTCACATGAAAGTTCTTCTTTCCTCTACTATTCCTTTTAAACTCATATTGCCTTCCAATGGCTAGTCAGTGTACACGTGAATTATATCTGGATTTTCTTGGTGCAGTAATAATCTCAAAATACTGACATCTTAACTGGACTAGACATTAAGCATAAAGACTTCTTCCTGAAAGTGAATAAAATTTGACAATTTTAATATTAAACTTATTTAGTCTGTTAAAATCAGGACCTCACCATGAAAAGGATGTACTGCTTTGGAGTTTGGTAGCCAGTTAATTTGTCACCTGATCTTCATATGCAAAAGGCCTGTATTCCACTGGTCTGTGAGATGTGAAATCACAAAGCCAAACAACCAAACTGCTGGACTCACTGAGCAGCTAATAAATTTCTATAAAATTTCTTCTCTCCTGTTAATTTGAGTATTTTTAAGCCTAAAGCCTCCCAAAATTGAGCTCAATGGACTCACAACCCCGGTTTTAGGAACTGATTCTTGAGCACTACACAATGAGTAACATTAACAATTCTTCAAAGACAATTCCAAAAGCTTTCTTGAGAGACTATTCCTGAGAAGGCACAATGATACGGGAGCACTGTATGTGCATGGATAACTTGGATATAGTCTGAATAAAAATAACCAAGAGCAAACAAAGGGATGAAAAAATCAATGTAAATTGTTTTTTGAGGATTTTGTCCTTTTCCTAGAAACACCTAATTATAAAGCATAAAAATGCATAAAGCAGAAAAATCTGGCCTGGTCAAATTTACATGTGGAGGGTATGGGGGGGGAGGGAGGAAGGTTCATTTTAAATATTCCCACGTGATAGCAAAGGTTACTTGGGATTAAGAGCAACAGGTAGAAGAGTAAACCATTTCTGAGTTTGTTAACAACTTAAGGAGTGTTTACAGCTATAGGATTTATTTACAAATCGGTCGTTAGAATCTAGGTTTCAACATTTTTCAAAAGCAACGAGTTACTACAGTAACTTTAGATCTGCGTTCACTTGTAAACACTGGGATAAAATCTGACCTCTGCTCATTTGATGAGCTGAATTCACACATAAACTGATCACACAGTTAAAACAAAAACAAAAACAAAAAAAAAAACTCTCGCCTTTGGCAACATTTTGGTCTTTTTAATGGTAAATGATGAAGACAATTTCCACACGTCTAGAAAGTTAACATGTTCAGTTCAGCCTGGGCCAATGCTGATTCTGAGGACAGCGCTTAAGCCACAGTTACTTTTGCTTCCTTTCAATGGCAGAACCATCATCCTGCTTCTGACCCCATTCAGCCCGCTCGGGGTTCCCGACCAGCGGATACCAGCGCTAGGTAGTAGTAGTGTAGCTGCTCGCCATATTGTGTTTTTAGTTCTTGTTTACCGTGTGTGTGTGTGTGTGTGCCTGGCATATGCTGTGCAAGTGTGTGTTTATCAATAGGACTTTGAGGAAATCCCTGCCTCTTCAGCAGCCTTAAAGCCGGTTCACTGCCGCGGAGAGGGGGTGGGGGGCGTGGGCCGGGTGGCGGGAGAGGACCAGCAAACCGCCCCGATGTAAAGCCACGCTTAAACAATGTCATAGAGTGCGTCTCTTTTAAACTTTCCGAAAGCTTCCAGCCGTTTTTGTCTCGGCTATTGCTGTGTTCATGTTTTCAGAGGAGCCCAGAGGAGAGGGGAAAGGGGAGCGCAGAGTCTAGTCACTGCAGCGAAGCAGGCGGGGGCCGGGAGCTCCGTGGTCCGGAGACGCCCCCCGCTCCCCGGTGCTCTGCAGACGCTCCAGAGACCGCAAGGGCCAGCGCAAGTAGAGAGGACAGGAGGGAGGGAGGGTGGACAAGAGGGGGCGGGAGGCAAGCGGACGCTTTGAGCAGCTCCGGAGCCCAGGCTAGTCGCCCTCGGCTCCTCTTCTTGGAAGCGGCAGCTCCAGGCGCAAAGGGGTAGGAAAAAAAAAAGTAGGGAGAGCGCACACACGTCTCCAGCTGCAGGACAGGGCCCCGCCCGCTCCTGGAGCCAGAGACCCTCCCGCGCTCCCTTCCTCCCCGGCCCGCGGGGTCGGGTGAGGACGTCGCCACAGCCGGACGCGAGGAGGGGCGCCCGGGGAGAGGCGGCGCGAGCGGGGCGGGGCGCGGGGGCGCGCGCTCCCTGCCGGCCGCCGGCCAGCGGGCTCGCCGCTCCGGCTCGCTCCCCCGACCAGCCTCTCCCCCCACTCCCCTCCTCTCCCCGTCCCGCCGCCCCCGACTCCCAGCGCCTCGCGGACGCCTCACCCCCCGCTGGAAGCGCACACCCCTCCCTCCCGCCCGCCCAGCAACAAATTAGAGTTTTCGGCGTTACCTCCGCACGCTCTTTAATCTTCTTTCCTCAACTCCTAAACTTCCCCGCCCTTACTTCTTCGGCAGAAGGTCCACATTGGGCGCCTCGCGCCGCGAACCCGCTCTGCTCCCCCGCGATTGGGTTGTTCTCTTGCCACTCTTCGCTTCAGGGAGCCTATGAGAACGGGACGCTCCTCGTGAGGTTGCCGCCCATAAACAAAATGCACTCGGTCTCCTCCCCTCTCCGGTCCCGCCCCCCCCTCCCCTTTTCCCTCATCTCTACCACCGCCGATTGGGCTAGAAAAAGCCCAATCCGCTATCTCAAACACCTATTGGGGCGCAGAAACGTCGCTCAGAGGACTGCTGCAAGGCCATTGGTCAGCACCCTCCCAACTCGGCCCCTCCCCGCCGCCTTTTCGCCCAGTCTGGAGAGGTCAGCCTCAGCCGGCGGTTCAGTGATCCCAGAGGTGGGAGGCTATTGGCTGAGAGTGCCCGTCAGACCGGACTGGAGTGGCCCGTGATTGGTCAACACAGACACTATAAAGTTTGGCTGTCCTCCGCCCCGCCTTTTCTTCTTTCCCTACACGCCCCCCGCATACCCCCCCCTTCCCGACTGCTTTTACTTTCTACGCAATTCTATTTCCTCCTTTATTTATTTATTTGTGATAAACTTAAATGACCCGGCGACGGAGGCGGGACTCGGCGAGAGGCCGGGGATGACGAAGGGTTCCCTGGGCCCAATGGCCGAGGGGACGGCGGGGTGAGGGGCAGCGGCGGTGGCCAGTGGGAGACAGGTGTCTGGGGCGCGCTGGGCCTGTGGAGCCGGGATGCCCCAGCGGAGGCGGCGGTTGCCCGCTGTCTGGCGCGGCTGGCTCGAGCTGGGGCGGGGGGTAGACGGGAGGGGAGGCGGTGGTATCGCCGTCGCCGAAGGCAGGGGCGGCCGGAGGAAGCTGGACCCGGGCGGTGGGAGGGAAGAGGGAGGGAGGTCTGGCGAGGCGGCCGCGCGCGAGGCCGTGCCGGGTCGGGCTGGGTTCCTGCGGAGCTGGGTGCAGGTTGCCAAGCCAGGAGGTCACCGGAGGCCGCGGAAGCCGTGCCAGAGCTCCGAGGGAAAAATGTGTTCCTTCTGGAGGTTTAGAAAAAATGCCTGGGAAACGGTTCCAAGGAAGCCGCCCTTAATGTAAATGCAGAGAGTTATCCTAACGGGAAAGGCAGATGATGTTTCTGGTTCCTCAAATGCCTGAAGTAACAACAGGGACCCAACTGTCCCGCTGGAGCCCACAAAATCCAATATCCTCAGGGCAGAGGAACAAATAAAGCAACACGGAAAATTAAATGCGGTTCAGAGGCTTCAGTAAAGCCTTCCTCCTCGTCCATGTGTCATTCAACAGAGCACTCCCCAGAGCCAAATTCTTACCAAGTGTTGGTCCAGGCCTCAGGCACTGATGGGGGAAAGAAGAAAAAAAAAAAAGAGGCTCAAGGCCAGTAGAAAGCTCAGGGAAGATTCCTAAAAAGGATTCCTAAAAGGACTATGATGGGAGTGGGGGCAGGAAATCTTCTTTCACTCTACAAGGAAAAAAACACAGGATTCTGCCAAAATAAGATGTTGGACATTTTAGGGAACTCGGGAAGCAATAATCACATAGTGAGGAACTTGATCTGAAACAGCACCCATTAGTGTGGAGATAGCCACGAGGAAAAGGAGGTGGGGTGGAGGTGGAGGTGGGCCAAGGGGCTGGGGGAGTGGGCACAGAAAGGGCTTTGCTCGGGGCGGAGGGCACACAGGTGCAGTGAGCAGTAATGTTTCCTTAAGTTGTACACTTGAAACGTATGGTTTTGTGAACCAATGTCACTCCAATAATTTTTTTAAAAAATAGTACGCAGCTGAAACAGGTTTTGCTCAGTGGATAGAGTGTACCAGGGGTCCTCAAACTTTTTAAAGTGGGGGCCAGATCACGGTCCCTCAGAGAGCTGGAGGGCCGGACTATATGAACTACTAATTCCTACTGTAACACCTCTGCTGCGCTCACTGCCCAAAAAACCTGGCGGGCCGGATCAGACTCCTCTGCGGGCTGCATGTGGCCCGCGGGCCATAGTTTGAAGACGCCTGGGAGGGCCTTCGGACTAAAGGGTCCCAGGTTCCATTCCCCTCAAGGTTATGTACCTTGGTTGAGGGCACATCCCTAGTAGGGGGTGTGCAGGAGGCAGCTGATCCATGTTTCTATCTCCCTTCCTCTCTGTAAAAATTCAATAAAAAATATATTTAAAAAAATAGTACGCATGCAATGAATATACAGTATTTGCAGTTTTAAAACAATATTATTGCCAAAACCGGTTTGGCTCAGTGGATAGAGCCTCAGTCTGCAAGCTGAAAGGTCCCAGGTTCGATTCCGGTCAGGGGCATGTACATTGATTGCGGGCACGTCCCCAGTAGGAGGTGTGCAAGGAGGCAGCTGGTCAATGTTTCTCTCTCATCGACGTTTCTAGCTCTCTATCTCTCTCCCTTACTCTCTGTGGAAAAATCACTAAAATATATTTTTTAAAAACATTATTATAGAATGTATAGTTTCCAATAGACTTGTGTTAATTCCTCTGGATTTAATGCATGGACACAGCATGCATTAAAGAAAAAAATTGTTGATGGCACTTGTCAAAAATGGTTAGGCAGACTTTATTCGGGGCCATCAATAGGGGCCAGAGCTGCTAGAATTTTGCAGTGGGGGAGAGAGATTGTCCTGGACTCCAAATACAGTATGGGCGAGTGGAAATTTTAGCCAAGGAGAGGTGGGTGAGGGGTCAGTGAATGGAAAATTACCAAGGAAACAGAGGTAAGGGAGGGATTGGATGGAATTCTGGCTAAACCAACCTAACAGGATTCTTGCTGAGGACAGGTTAGAGTGATCAGGCATCACCTGAGGGAAGGTGGAGGATGAGGAAACTGATGATATATCCAGGGGGATCAGATGTGGGGGTGGGTCCGGAGTGGTTTTGTTAAACTGACTTAGCAGGGTTCTTGCTAAAATTGGATTTTA